CTATGCAGGAGCTGTCGCCTCATGACGTATTCCCATCAATGGAAGCAGTTGATGAGTCACTCAATGTGACATGTCGTATCGCTGACATAGAGGGTTACGATCAACCCACTGCTATCGAATTGGACGGCAAAGCAAGTGATGCTCAGGTCTGTGGAATCACTCAGAGTTCCCATACATATACGTTTATTTGGAACATTTCGAGGAAAACAATCAATCAAGCTGCTCCCTTTGAGGTTCTCATTTGAACGCTCAACACTCCAGAGATTGAGTCGATCTTGAATCCACGCATATCTCCGAGAAATTGTTGGGTTTTTTCCATAACTGTTCGGTCGCTTGCTAAAATGACGGCTGGAGTGCCGCTATCTGTCGAACCTACGACGATTATTCCGGATGAGCAAAAGTGCCGATATAGAGTCAATGAAATTCTCAAGCCTTGGAAAACATAGGTTTTTCTCAGGTCCTGGTGTACCGAGAATTGGGAACTGGTCATCCAGGATGGAGTGCTTTATGTCATTATGTGCAAATATCTTCGACACAAAGGCTGGGTCTTCATCCGTCACATTTCTAGTTTTTCTCTTCGAGGAACAGCGTCGCCTGAAGTGAATTTGGCGGCCTTGCAGAAAATGGTCCTTTCAAGGAACGGATTGTAACATGTCGAGTTCGTGGCGAACGGCAAGAATATCCTCAGAATACTTGAATCATGAATGTCCAACAGTAAATGGTGAAGGCAAGATGATGACTATTCATTCGAATGAGAAAATCCGAAAGACACCTTCAGCATTCAAAGATACAAACAGTGACAATGCTTCGCACTCTACCACTATCTGCCGACTGCTACTGAAGTATGATGGAATAAACTGAAACTCTCCAATCAGATCAGTCGTCAACGTCGAACAGTGCTGCCTTCCGACATTACTTGATATCCTAAAAAAAGGAACACGACGTTTCGAAGTTCATCACCAAGTCAAAATGACGTTCATGTAGGAGGTGCCGAACTATCGCGATCCACGGAAGCCACACATGTCTGTGCCTCATTTATTACAACCTAATTAATATTTTCGAATATTTCTTTGAACTTGGTTAGTTTTCTAATTTCTGTACAGGACTTGAATTGGAGTCGACAGTTTGCTGACCCAATCGTTTGATCATTCCACACAATTCATCTGCTTAAATACTAACATTTCACCAGCACAGTGTACGATATATTAGGTCGCATACCCAAAACTTCGCTAAGTTCAGATTGATCTGGAGACTTCCGGAAGTCTTCACAAAATTACTACGTAAG